GGGGAGCCGCTGCGTCCGGACACGGTGCCGGCCCCTCGGCCAGGACCTCGCTGTCCCCCCGGCTGAGCGCAGGAGACACCTCCAGGAGGAGCAGGGATCCCTGAGGACCCAGCCATGAGTCCCTGGAGCACACGGCCCTGAGGGAGCCACAACTCCGCCCTCAGCAGCTGTGGCCTCTTAGGAAGGATTGGCAAGGCGACCACATGGCCAGCTGAGCTCCCACTTAGCATCACGCTCCCCCTGCTCCCATCTCCCCCGAGGCTTCTCTGCCCAGCGCTGGGTTAGTCACGGAGCTTGGGCTGGTCTAGGGCTGCTGCTCCCCCTCTGGGCCAGAGCACAGGCCCATTGGCCAGCCCCCCTCCCCCAACCCAGGGGGTCCTGTCCCAGCCCAGCATCGTACACCTGGCCCGCAGCGGCGGCTCCCCTCCCTGGCCACGCGCTGCCGTTAGCTCACCGATCTCCTGCAGCAGGATCACCGCTTCATCCACCGCTTTGATGTCAGGGCTGTCCAGAGCCTTGGAGAGGAACTCGACGGCCTGCGGCACACGAGAGACCAGATGAGACCCCCCCGGATCCACGCAGGGCTAGAGGCAGAACGCGCCGCCCTGCCCAGAAACGGCGGCTTTGCATCCCCTTGCGGCAAGGCCGTTTCCTCCTGCAGGACACGCCGGGCGCTACCCCGGCACGTCTCCCTCTGAGCGCCCCTGGCGCTGGCACTGCCGGCGAGGACAGGAAGAGGCAGCTCACGGAGATTACAGGCAGGCAAAGGGAAAGTCTCAGTCTCTGACCCACAGGATGTTCACTGAGGGTCCATGGACAAGCCCAGGGGAGTTTTCCCACCTAGAGCTCCAGGTTCACCACTGCCTCTTGGGAACACCCACCCGACCGATCGGCAGCTCCCTGGATTGCCCCTTCGCTGCCTGTTGCGCTCACAACCACCGAGGGGAACAGGCGCAGGGGCTGTTCAGCCAGCCCGGCGCTCTCCTAGCCGCGTGCGACACCTACTGTCTTCTCTGGCATGTGGATCTTGGCCTGAACCACCAGGTTCTCCAGGGGCGTGCGCAGGATTTCAGGGACCTGGAACGTGGGCATTTTCTCCAGGCGGCTGCGCGGGAAGAGGTGGTAGGCAAAGCCCGACTGGCAGGGGGGGGCGCGCCCGCGCCCCCGCGAGACGCTCTGGC